TTCGTTTTATGCCATTTTGAAAGCGGGGAACCTTTACACCTTTTTAATGCGCGTGTCGCAACTAGGACGTAATTAAATTTATTGCTTTTGAATGGGGACAAAAATTGGAATGCAATCATGTTCGCCGACGCTTTGTCGGTTGTTGAAATGTAATCCGACACCGGTAGTATGGCTTTGGCGCAATGGGAAAAACAGTCCGCGTGTTCCGTGCGCATTTAAATTGTGCAACGCGGTTTCGAGTGAGATGTGAGGATTATTGCCCGATGCACTGTGAGCTCAACTGTCTCCCATTTCCATAATTTAGGCATAATTTCGCTATATTGCTTCTCCCATCTGCATTTAATAACTGGCTTTCATTTTTGCAGGATGCGTTTTTAGAAAGAACGTCGTTCGGAATGATTAATCACGAACGAAGAATATTTGCATTTTTTTATTCTGCCAAGTGTTGGAAAACGAAAGAAATGACATGACGATAATCAGAGAGTAGTCATTGAGAAAAATGCTTCACGTGTTTGAAAATTGTTCACTCCTCCAGGAAATGCAAGAAGAAAGTCCGATGTGAGTCAAGCAACCTCAATTATTATCCAATTATGTGGTCACCGATTAATAAGCAAAAGTCATCGAAGGAAGAGGATATCATTCTGCGCAGGGTGTGTACAAGATGCTAATTTGTTATTCGCATCAATGAGAGTATGAATAGAGATACGTTTAAAAAATGGGTAATTGAGCGTTCGGTAATGAATTTGAAGAGACTCCTGACAATCCATGAAAGTGCTGAGTTGGAACGAGGGAAGGCATTGGCAGCGAGGCACTTCAGACTGGAGACTATCGCGAGCGGCCTATATTGACACTATCCCAGTTCTTATGGACGGATGGGAAGGGGGGGGGGGCTGTGTCGGGTTGTAACTTTCTAGGCTTCCAAGTTGAAGGTAAATTGAAACCTCGTCGTACATGAATAAAAGAATTTTGGACTTGGACAAGCTCAAAGGATTCGAAAGATTCTGAAGATTCTGAAGATTCTGAAGATTCTGAAGATTCTGAAGAGTCTGAGAAGAGTCTGAGAAGAGTCTGAGAAGAGTCTGAGAAGAGTCTGAGAAGAGTCTGAGAAGAGTCTGAGAAGAGTCTGAGAAGAGTCTGAGAAGAGTATGAGAAGAGTCTGAGAAGAGTCTGAGAAGAGTCTGAGAAGAGTCTGAGAAGAGTCTGAGAAGAGTCTGAGAAGAGTCTGAGAAGAGTCTGAGAAGAGTCTGAGAATAGTCTGAGAAGAGTCTGAGAAGAGTATGAGAAGAGTCTGAGAAGAGTCTGAGAAGAGTCTGAGAAGAGTCTGAGAAGAGTCTGAGAAGAGTCTGAGAATAGTCTGAGAAGAGTCTGAGAAGAGTCTGAGAAGAGTCTGAGAATAGTCTGAGAAGAGTCTGAGAAGAGTCTGAGAAGAGTCTGAGAATAGTCTGAGAAGAGTCTGAGAAGAGTCTGAGAAGAGTCTGAGAATAGTCTGAGAAGAGTCTGAGAAGAGTCTGAGAAGAGTCTGAGAATAGTCTGAGAAGAGTCTGAGAAGAGTCTGAGAAGAGTCTGAGAATAGTCTGAGAAGAGTCTGAGAAGAGTCTGAGAAGAGTCTGAGAATAGTCTGAGAAGAGTCTGAGAAGAGTCTGAGAAGAGTCTGAGAATAGTCTGAGAAGAGTCTGAGAAGAGTCTGAGAAGAGTCTGAGAATAGTCTGAGAAGAGTCTGAGAAGAGTCTGAGAAGAGTCTGAGAAGAGCCTGAAAAGAGTCTGAGAAGAGTTTAAGAAGAGTCTGAGAAGGGTCTGAGAAGAGTCTGAGAAGAGTGAAGATTCTGAGAAAAGTCTGAAAATTTTGAAGATTCTGAAGATTCTAAATTGAAACCTCGTCATCCATGAATGAAAGATTTTTGGACTTGGGCAGGTTCAAAGGATTCGAAAGATTCTGAAGATTCTAAAGATTCTGAAGATTCTAAAGTTTCTGGAGATTCTTAAAATTCTGCGCGGGTGATCAATCAATGTCTCTAGAGCTACTCTCGTGTGATTATTAGAGAGCAACCTCCTGTTTATATTGCAAGTTTAAAACTTTTTCATGTTTTAGTTTCTGAAGATTTTGATGTTTCTGAAGATTCCGAAAATTCTGAGAAGAGTCTGAAGATTCTGAGCAGAAACCGAAGTTTCTGAAGATTCTGAGAAGAGTCTGAAGATTCTGAGAAGAGTCTGAAGATTCTGAGAAAAGTCTGAAAATTCTGAAGATTCTAAGTCAGAATAGTATGAGAAGAGTCTGTAGATTCTAAAGATTCTGATGATTCTGAAAATTTTGAAAATTCTGAAGATTCTGAAGATTCTGTAGATTCTGAAGATTCTGAAGATTCTGACGATTCTGAAGATTCTGAAAATTCTGAAGATCTGAAGACTCTGAAGATTCTGAAGATTCTGAAGATTCTGATGATTCTGAAGATTCTGAAGATTCTGATGATTCTGAAAATTCTGAAAATTCTGAAGATTCTGAAGATTCTGAAGATTCTGAAGATTCTGAAGATTCTGAAGATTCTGAAGATTCTGAAGATTCTGAAGATTCTGAAGATTCTGAAGATTTTGAAGATTCTGAAGATTCTGAAGATTCTGAACTTTCTGAAGATTCTGACAATTCTGAGAAGAGTGAAGATTCTGGTGAAGAGTCTGAGAAGAATCTGAGAAGAGTCTTAGAAGATTCTGAGAAGATTCTGAGAAGATTCTGAGAAGATTCTGAGAAGATTCTGAGAAGAGTCTGAAGATTCTGAGCAGAAACTGAAGTTTCTGAAGATTCTGAGAAGAGTCTGAAGATTCTGAGAAGAGTCTGAAGATTCTGAGAAGAGTCTGCAGATTCTGAGAAAAATCTGAAAATTCTGAAGATTCTAAGTCAGAATAGTATGAGAAGAGTCTGTAGATTCTAAAGATTCTGATGATTCTGAAAATTCTGAAAATTCTGAAGATTCTGAAGATTCTGAAGATTCTGAAGATTCTGAAGATTCTGAAGATTCTGAAGATTCTGAAGATTCTGAAGATTCTGAAGATTCTGAAGATTCTGAAGATTCTGAAGATTCTGAAGATTTGAAGATTCTGAAGATTCTGAAGATTCTGAAGATTCTGAAGATTCTGAAGATTCTGAATATTCTGAAGATTCTGAAGATTCTGAAGATTCTGATTCTGAAGATTCTGAAGATTCTGAAGATTCTGAAGATTCTGAAGATTCTGAAGATTCTGAAGATTCTGAAGATTCTGAAGATTCTGAAAATTCTGGAAGAGTGAACATGCTGGAGAAGAGCCTGAGAAGAATCTGGGAAGAGTCTGAGAATATTCTGAGAAGAGTCTGAAGATTCTGACAAGTGTGAAGATTTTGAGAAGAGTCGGAATATTCCGAGAGGAGTCTGAAGATTCTGAGATCTGAAGATTCTGAGAAATGTCTGAAAATTCTGAAGATTCTGAGAATTCTGAGAATAGTATGAGAAGAGTCTGAGAAGAGTCTGGAGATTGTGAGAAGAGTCTGTAGATTCTAAAAATTCAGAAGAATCTGTAGATTCTGAAGAATCTGTAGATTCTGAAGAATTTGTAGATTCTGAAGAATCTGTAGATTCTGAAGATTCAGAAGATTCTGAAGATTCTAATGATTCTGAGGATTCTGAAGATTCTGAAGATTCTGAAGATTCTGAAGATTCTGAAAATTCTGAAGATTCTGAAGATTCTGAAGATTTTGAAGTTTCTGAAAATTTTGAAGATTCTGAAGATTCTGAAAATCCCGAAGATTCTGAATATAGATAAGCATTCTGAAGATTCTGCCAGAATTCACAGATTCTGCGCGGGTGATCAATCGACCGTCTCCAGAATCAATGTCCCTAGCTACTCATGTGTGACTATTACAGAGCAACCTATTGTTTGTATTGCAAGTTTAAAACTTTTTAATGTTTTAGTTATATTTCACGCTCTCCTCCCCCATTTCTTGTTTTATTTATGTTGGTTTACTCGACGTAGGTCCTATCACTAGACAGGCTTGTTTTTGCGGGAGTTTAGATTTTTGGGTTTTGAGTTGCGCGGTCATTTCTCGACTGCATCCCGCGTTATTACAAGATATAAATGCTAAGTGCAAATTATTTTTAATGGAATTCAATTAATCAGTGATAAATGGAAAGATATTACCCCCTTGTATACCCGCCGCTGTGATGGGGTTAATAATTGAAAAGTAATGGTGGAAAGATGAAAACTGTAGAACATAAGAAATCGTATACAAAGCTTAGACAAATTTTATTTAATAGGAAGATACTGTTTTAAATCTTATGTCTCAAATAGAGCAAATTCGCAAAACTGAATGCAAATTATTCACAACTTCGGCTATTTGTTTTGACGTTTCCAATTTAAGTGCGTAGTAGACAACTGAATGCATGCTGACATGCGGGGTTACCACTTAGACACTTAATTTCATCAATTATCCAACGACTTCCAGTTGATTAATGATTATTTTTCGATTGATCTCGGTACAACCTATTATTAAAACACCTACGCACAATTCTTATTTAAATCGTCACATCTGCATTAGCGTGTGTTTACAAATTAATTAACTATTATCTATAAGCACAACTCTTATCCACGGCCGGAGAAAAACATGAGATAAACTTTTACAAATATAACGCAAATAATTTCCAGATGTTCCCTTTTTTTTTTATTAAATTGAAGATGCCAAGGAAGTCAGAATGCTGAACCATGATCGCTTATGAAGCTGAACCGTCTACGTACACCGAAGCCATTGAAAGTTCTCAAGCAAAAAATGGGAAAGTGGCAAAATTCGCCAAGAAGGTTGCTAAATCGACCATTTTGTTTTACAAAAACGAAGGGTAATCAATATGACAGTTTGATTGGTCTCTCCTTTTACGTCTACGTTTCTTGCCTACACGATTTCTTATCACGTGACACGGCGAATTGTAGGCACAATTTGAAAATGTCAGCTAACTGTCATGGAGTAGATACCTACCATCAAAATGTCTCGGCGATTAATTCCATTTGCTCGTCCGGTTACAACAGCATCTTCAAACTCCAGTGGAAGTATAATCAAATCGGTCCTGTTAGGCATCCCAGGGCAGCATAAAACGAAATTGGCCGATCAAATCGTCACCAATTTTAATTTCGTTCACCTGTGCATCCCGCAAATTATATCCGGACGGGCTCGCGATGGCTCAACCGTAAGTAAGGTCTTAAGGATTTCGCGTAATCTCAAATTACAAGTACCCGACGACTACACGGTGAAGTTTGTCACGAATGAGGTCACGTTGCAAGATGACAAGTCATTTGTCATCACCGGGTTCCCCTCTACTTTAAACCAAGCCAACCTCTTTTGGAAAGTGTACAAGCTTAACATGGTCATTTATCCGGACTACTCCTCCGAAGACTACGTACGAATTCTGCTGGAAGGCTCCAAACGGGTTGCCGACGGTGACGAGCGGATGAAGCTGCGAAACGTTAGGAACGTCATCAAGAGGTATACTAGGAGAATTGGACCAATTCTGAAGTACTACGAGCGTGAGAAGGTCCTGTGCAGCTGCTCGGCGAGTACGGAGTCGGAAATGTGGGAGAAAGTGAGGAATGAAATTAGCAAACGTGTTGGACTAAATGTGAAAGGAGAAATAAAGCTTGCCTGATACAAACTCGTTTATTCGTTATGTTTTAGATAAAGCCACAAGTCGCACCTCCACCCCCTTTTTCACCTTCTTCCACATCTCCTCTTCGGTGTTACTGTAAAAATGTTGCAGAATCTTCTGCTTTTTATAAAACTCTATTAGAGACGAGAGCCTCTTCTGATCCTTGGCTATGTTCTCCATTGCCAGCGCCACTCGCTTCTCCTTCTCTTCCTCGGTACCGCTTTCATCTACTCCCCCCACTTTGAAACGGACAAGGTATTCCTTCGGGTAATCCAGGTTAATCACAAAATTAAACTCGAGATCCTTCCACAAGAGTATCGCCTGACGGTACGTCTTCGGAAAGCCGGTGACGATGAACGATTTGTCGCCGATGCCCTTGAGCTCTCGCAGAACGAAGTGCGCGATCGGCACGTCGGAGACCTTCTCGTCGGCGGTAAGGGCGGCCTTTATGGCTTTCCCGAAGTCCGTGTTGTTCTTGACGTGCTCGGCGATCAGTTCGGGAACCGGCACGTTGACCATGTTAAACGTGGACGCGATGTTTTTCACTATGGCGTCTCTTTGGCGACCGGATATACCTAACAGAAGTGTACGGAGTACTTTCCCGGCCGGTATTTGATGGGTTGACGTTTTGAAGTGTTATTGGGTCAATTGAGATCATAAATGATTATCTACTTGACGTCTGTCAACGATCTTTCAGGGTCTACTACGTACAATGCCATGGTGACGATCCCAATTTCACTAAGGGATAGCGAAACCATGACAATTCACTTCTCATAGTGATAGAAAAATACCACTTCGTCCATTATGTTCTCCTAATTTTACACAAGTTTGTCGACAAATAACAGGTGTATTAGGAGCTGAAGACCTCCTCGTGAACTACGATTTCCTAATACCAAATTGGCAAATATTTAAATCGAAATAAAGCTTTGAAATACTTCTGATAGTGATAGACAAGGACCTCTTCGTCCATTATCTTCTCCTAGTAGCAAGAAAAATTTTACATAAGTTTGTCGACTAATAACAAATGTATTAGGAACAGAAAGACCTCCTCGTGGATTATATTTTCCTGATACAAAATTTGGCAAGCATTTAAATCCAAATAAAGCTTTGAAATGCCTCTCATAGTAATAGAAAAGGACCTCTTCGGCCATTATGTTCTCCTAGTAGCAAGAAAAATTTTACACAAGTTTGTCAACAAGTAACAGGTGTATTAGGAACAGAAAGACATCCTCGTGCATTATATTTTCCTGACACAGAATTGGTAAATATTTAAATAGAAATAAAGCTTTGAAATAATTCTCATAGTGATTGAAAATCACCTTTTCGTTCATTATGTTTTCCTGGTAACCAAAAAATTTTTACACACGTTTGTCGACAAATAACAGGTGTATTAGGAACAGAAAGACCTCCTCGTGCATTACATTTTCCTGATGCAGGATTGGCAAAAATTTAAATCGAAATAAAGCTTTCGAATAATACTCATAGTGACAGAAAGTGACCTTTTCGTTCGTTATGTTCTTCTAGTAACCAGAAAAATTTTACACCACTTTGTAGACAAATAAAAGGTGTATTAGCAACCGAAAGACCTCCTCATGCGTCATATTTTCCTGATGCAGGATTGGCAAAAATTTAAATCGAAATAAAGCTTTCAAATAGTAGTCATAGTGACAGAAAATGACCTCTTCATTCATTATATGTTCTCCTAGTAACCAAAAAAATTTTACACAAGTTTGTCGACAAATAACAGGTCTATTAGCAACAGAAAGACCTCCTCGTGCGTTATATTTTCCTGATGCAGGATTGGGAAAAATTTGAATTGAAATCAAGCTTTCAAATGATATAATAGTGACAGAAAATGACCTCTTCATTCATTATATGCTCTCCTAGTAACCAGAAAATTTTTATACAAGTTTGTCGACAAATAACAGGTCTATTAGCAACAGAAAGACCTCCTCGTGCGTTATATTTTCTTGATACAGAATTGGCAAATATTTTAATCGAAATAAAGCTTTCAAATAATACTCATGGTGACAGAAAATGACCTCTTCGTTCGTTATGGTCTCCTAGTAACCAGAAAATTTTTACATAAGTTTGTCAACAAATAACAGGTGTATTAGGAACAGAAAGACCTTCTCGTGCATTGTATTTTCCTGATACAAAATTTGCCACTTATTTGAATCGAAATAAATCTTGGAAATACTTCTCATAGTGATAGAAAATGACCTCTTCGTTCATTATGTTCTCTTAGTAACTAGAAAAAAATGTACATACGTTTTTATCAACAAATAACAGGTGTATTAGGAACAGAAAGACCTCCTCGTGCATTATATTTTCCTGATACAGAATTGGCAAGTATTTAAACCGAAATAAAGCTTTGAAATGCTTCTCACAGTGGGAGAAAATGACCTCTTCGGCCATTATGTTCTCATAGTAGCAAGAAAAAATTTTACATAAGTTTGTCGGCAGGTGTATTAGGAACAGAAAGACTTCGCGCATTATATTTTCCTGATACAGAATTGGCAAATATTTAAATAGAAATATAGCTTTGAAATACTTCTCATAGTGATTGAAAATGACCTCTTCGTTCATTTTGTTCTCCTAGTAACCAGAAAAATTTTACATAAGTTTGTCAAGAAATAACAGGTGTTTTAGCAATAGAAAGACCTCCTCGTGCATTATATTTTCCTGATACAAAATTTGGCATTTATTTGAATCGAAATCAAGCTTTGAAATACTTCTCATAGTAATAGAAAGCACTTCTTCGTCCATTATGTTCTCCTAGTAGCAGGAAAAATTTTACATAAGTTTGTCGATAAATAACAGGTGTATTAGGAACACAAAGACCTCCTTGTGCATTATATTTTCCTGATACAGAATTGGCAAATATTTGAATAGAAATAAGGCTTTGAAATACTTCTCATAGTGATAGAAAAGGAACTATTCGTCCATTATGTCTCCTAGTAGCAAGAAAAACTTTACATAAGTTTGTCGACAAAATAACAGGTGTATTAGGAACAGAATGACCTCTTCGCGCATTCTATTTTTCTGATACAAAATTTGGCAAATATTTGAATAGAAATAAAGCTTTCAAATACTTCTCATAGTGATAGAAAAGGACCTATTCGTCCATTATGTCTCCTAGTAGCAAGAAAAATTTTACAGAAGCTTGTCGACAGGTGTATTAGGAACAAAAACCCCTCCTCGTGCATTATATTTTCCTGATACAAAATTTGGCACTTATTTGAATCGAAATAAAGCTTTGAAATACTTCTCATAGTAATAGAAAAGCACTTCTTCGTCCATTATATGTTCTCCTAGTAACAAGAAAAATTTTACATAAGGTTGTCGACAAATAACAGGTGTATTAGGAACACCAAGACCTCCTCGTGCATTATATTTTCCTGATACAGTATTGGCATATATTTAAATCGCATTAAAAATACTTTTCATTGTGGGAGAAAGATACCTCTTCGTCCATTTTGTTCTAGTAGCAAGAAAAAGTTTAAATAAGTTTGTCAAGAAATAACAGGTGTTTCAGGAATAGAACGACTTCCTTGTGCATTATATTTTTCCGGTACAACATTTGGCATTTATTTGAATCGAAATCAAGCTTTGAAATACTTCTCATAGTGATAGAAAATGGCCTCTTCGTTCATTATGTTCTTCTAGTAACCAGAAAAAATATACATAAATGTTTGTCAACAGATAACAGGTGTATTAGGAACAGAAAGAGCTCCTCGTGTATTATATTTTCCTGATACAGAATTGACAAAAATTTAAATCGAAATAATGCTTTGAAATAAATCTCATAGTGATAGAAAATGAACTCTTCGTCCGTTATGTTCTCCTAGTAGCAAGGAAAATTTTACATAGGTTTATCAAGTAAGAGGTGTATTAGGGGGCCGAAATTGCTCTTGCACCTTCTTAACTTCTTGCGTGAAGGTGTATCGTTCAGTGCCCTCCTTTTTCTCCAAGTCAGGAAACCTTCCTATTTTAAGGGGCCTAATGAACATAAAGGGACTCAAAGGATGTATACCTTCGTTATCTTCTGTGGAAACGCTGGCTGGCCAGTCCTAATCTGGTCATAATCCAGCTTTGATCTTCCTAATATCCTCTTGAGGAAGTCATTTACCAAGAGAATTAATCTTCCCCAAAGCAAGGAGATCCGGGTGGGATGAAGGTTCATTGTATCTGTTCACTTCTTCCCAGTCAAAAAATTAGCTCCTCCCACGAAATTTGTTCCGTTGTCTGAGAAAATTGTATTGTGCCCTCCATTCATGGAAATAAACCTTTCCAAGGCTCCCACAAATGCTTCCAAGTTCCAAGGGAGTGCTACAAGGTACCTTCCATTATCTTCCCTCTGAACCGTCTTCAAAAAGAAGTTTCTAGCTTCAATGTCGTGCCTATTGGGTCCTTTATGTCGATTGTCTCCAGATTCCAGTCAAAAAGATCCAACGGGGTTGATAGCAATGGAGTCATGGACGTGGTTAACTAAGGCAATCTTCCCCCCAAGGTCCATCCAAAGATAGCATCTCTCGCGTTCAGTCCACATTCTGGTTTGACCAACCTCCAAGACCCCAGCAATAGATTCCGAGCAAAATCTAGATATCCGATGTTTGAGAATTTCTTGGAGTTGGTTCAACCAAGGGTTTCCCACTTCTAAGGTTTCAGGCTCATAGGATATCAAGTGCTCTAGGGATCTCATGGGTTCGGCATTCCAAGATGTGTTCTAGGTCACAAAAGACCTCGAAGTCTCAAGAGCTCAAATCCTTTAAGATTGCAAGGTTTCAAGGGACCATACTCACAAGCTGGCATTTCAGGGACTATGGTTTTGGAAGTCTCAAAAATCAGGGTTCCCACTTCCAAGATCTCAAGGTCACAAGGCGTCAAGTGCCCTAAGGATCTCATGGGTTCAGCAATCCAGGATGTGTTCGAGGTCACAAAACGGCCTCTAGGTACCAGAGACTGAATTTCAGTTTATTAGTGCCTTAGGACTTCGAGATAGTAGTCTCCTAGGGTCTCAGTGTCTCACAATACTCTCCAGATGTGATTCCAAAAGCTTTCGATCTTATGGCATCAAGAGACGATTCTTTTGGTATCACGATACTACCAACTTATACGGGGAATTCATGTGTGGATATTCTGACCTTACTAACCCTTATGGATTTTGTATGCTACATTTTATGTACGGATCTGTTTGCGGCGCTGCGCTTGTTATATTTATTTTTTTGGTTCTTTATGGTGATTACAGCAATATAGACTGCTTTTGCTTACATTTTGATTAGGAAAATGAATTTTTTCGCACCAAACTGAAACTATTAGTTTTGATTTTAAGGCAATACTGAACGTGCCCTTATCTAAGGGATTATTATCAAGAAATTATTGAAAAGCATTTGCAATGGCAGACACTCTACATAATTCAATTAACAGTAAGCGCGAAACAGCACCCTATTAGGGAATGGGACGGTTGAGGATCTAAATGTTTCTAACAAGCGGGCAGATACGACCTAAGCCGATTA